ATATTGTATTTGAAAGACTCAATGGGGTTCTTCTTATTGGAGGTTTTCTTATACTCTAATTGGGCCTTAAAGTACGTAATCTTGGGGTGTAGTATTTTAGATTGGAAATGAGTAGTTTACTGACAGTTGCTCCAAACAAAATATGCTAGTATTTTGATAATTTACTGACAGTTGCTCCAAACAAAAAAAATATGCTAAAAAAGAAGATAATTTAGTGACTATGAGATATTGCTTAGAGTTTGTAAATTGCAGACTAGGTAGGTATTACCATTTCCGATTTAATTAAAACACAGTGAGTTATGTGCTAGTCATCAATCAATCTAAAGAAAAAGACACATGAACAAATGATAGCATAAATAATATATTAGCAAAATGGGGTCGGACTCAACAATCACAGAGATAAATATGGTTGCGTGGTTGATGAATTCCTTTGGTCTCCTCACGAAAAGATCGTTTCTATGTAAATCAAAGTCAACTTCTTTGGCATATAAACTATATAACACTTAGTCATGACAACATAAGTTTAACTTCAAAAGAAAGGTTTCTAAAATATTATAAATTATCGTATGTTCTCCATGGGTCGATGTTATCATAAAACTCTTTCATTATTTCTCTTAATTAATCTCCATATAGTATAAGAAAAATAGATACTATAGAACTAAAAAATAAAATAGCTACAGAGAGTTGAAGAAGATGCATTTTCCCAAATATATTAGTGTCGTAATACATAGCTAGAGAGATTTGACGAAGATGCCTTTTCCCAAATACATTAGTATAACTTTTTTTTCTCATATTTGTCATCTTTCTTGCATCATACGCAACCTTGTTCTGCGAAAGTTGTTCAGACAATGAAAACTTCAAAAGAAGTAAGTAACTTGAGATACGAAAATTACGACACTAGCTATGAATCTATTTTACGCCACGTCACCAAACTGGTCAACATTCTCCGCCGCACCACCACTTTTTGGTTGAAGTCGGAGGTATTTATTTACTTTTGTCACGTGTGATATTACACATATAACGCGTAAGTGATACTGGTTGAAA